TCAATCTCTTCACCATCCATCCTGATGCTGCCAATTGGTCCAGTGGTGAGAATCTTTGTCTTCTTGACATTGAGCCTCAGTCCATATTGTAGGCTGCAGTCCTTGACCCTCTGTAGCAGGTGCTTCAGGTCCTCTTCAGTAGGTGTGTATATATCTGTTTGGATGGAGGTTCTGGTTTCTTTAGGGTATATTCCCAATAGTGCAATTGCTGGGTCAAACAGTATTTGTATTTCCAGCTTTTTGAGAAAGCATCATACTGCCTTCCATAGTAGTTGTACCATTTTACACTCCCACCAACAGTGAATAATGGTTCCAGTCTCTCTGCCGTGTTGAACTTTGCTAGTGAAGTGAGATGATATTTCATAGTTGTTTTGATTCGTATCTCTCTTGGAGCTAAGGATTTTGGACATTTCCTCATGTGTTTGTTCACCATTTTAATGTCTTTGGTGAAATATCTGTTCATACGCTATGCTCATTTTGCAATTGAGTTGTTCACTTTATCTTGTTGAGGTTCCAGAGTATTCAATAAATTCTAGATATAAATCCCTTATAAGACATGTCATTACCAAATATTTTTTTCCAAATATTTTTTTAAATGGTGTGTTGGGGATTCAAGATGGTGGCAGAGGCAGAGACAGCGTGGTGAGCTGTGGGAGCAGCGAACCACTTAAAGCAGGGCCATTCTGGCCTTTTACAGACTTCAGCTATTGATAATTGAACACTTAAACAGCTGAGGACTGGCCCTCAGTGAATATCGAGGCTCAACAACAGGAATTCAAGGATTCCCAAGGAGGAATGGGTGAGTCTGGTGGCTCCCAACCCCCTCCCGCAGAGCCTGTGCTGCGCCACATAGCCGCTGTAGCTCCATGAGGCTTCCACAGCCAGAACCAATGAATTCCCTCACCCAGGATGGATGCTGGGCACCGGTCCTCCTCAAGACTGGTACAGTGAAGCCACCACACTGCCCCAAGGTGGACTTGTTCTGGAGAGAATTCTTGGAGCCAGGATGGCGGCTGTGGGGGAAGCGGGCGCCCGCTGGCTGCCTGCACAAGAGGGGCTGCACACCCACTGGCTGCCCAGGTGGGAGGGGGTGGGCTCACGAACCACTGGCCGCCTGCATAGGAGGTGGGGGATGGGATGCATGCCCACCATCTGCAGGTTTGGGTTTCCTTGGACAGGCCAAAGAAGATGATTACCTATGCAATGGATTGCTGAAAGTCACTGTGAGTCTAATGACCTTAACAGTGGCAGCATGCACAAGAGGACT